ACAGTTTCTCAAAAAAGATTAAAGAAACAGACGTACTAATTCAAATTCCAGCCCAAATCCATCCATCCGATTTTTCCTAGTTTTTATAGATTTTTTTTAAAAGTTTAAAATTATAATAGTGATTATATTTTTATTTAAAAATTTATTAAAAATATTTTTTTTTTATTTTTTTAAAATTATTTTTAATATCATCACATCAGTATTTAAAATATTAATATAAATTAATTTTTTTTAATTTTTGTAACCTCATCCTCCAATATTTGATTTATTAGCATTCATTTTTCATGTGTTTTTTCTTATTTTTATGAAATTATCTATATCTTACAATTAGTCACGGTGTTAACATATTAATCCAGTTTAACTAAGATTTTTTAATATTAAATTGTTTAATAATTAAATTTTTAATTTATTTTTAATAAAATTATTTTTTTATCACAATTAAATCATGAATTTTACATATTAAACTATATAAATTTGAGTTGATTTTTCTAAGATATTATTATATTTTTATATAATTGCAATTATGCAAGTTTATTGACTCTGTCAAATCATTTACTCACGCCCAAGTTTTCTTTTTTTTTTAAAATGCTTGCATAGCCTTGGCTTCCCTTTACAATAAAAACGAAGAAGAAGGATTTGCCTAGATTGAAGCGCTTGCCACACATATAATATCAACTCAACACCATCCACCATGATATTCTCAACAAACTTCATTATTCTAATATTGATGAACAACCTCTGTGCGAATTTCTTCTTATATTCAAGTACATTAATCATTCTTTTATCTCATTTAATTTTTTTATGTCTTCGACAAAGGAATCTATTGTCGCAAACCGCACTAACTCTGCTCTTGAAGAGGGGTCTGAATTCGAATACAAATCCATCAATAGCTTGGTCTTAAAAGATTTATGTTTAAATGATTTTGTGGTGGTTGGGTGGTTATTGGTTTGCGGGCGGCAACTGGCGGAGAAGTGGATTGGGGCGGTTGTCGTGTTCTTTAAGATTAAAGAAAATCTTATTACAAATATTCTGGGTTTTAAAAGTAAGATTTTCCTTCGAGGGAAGAGAGAAATTTACAAAATCAGTTTTGCATTGATTGAAAGAATTAAGAAAATGGCGATTTGTTTTCAGTGATGTTCGTGAGGCATGAAACCGTTCTTGTGAAGTATTTTTCCTTGAGCGAATTTCAAATATACCTTGAAACTATTTTTTGTATAAATTTTATTATTAAATTATTTTGATTTCTCAATTAAATATTTTTCTAGAATACTTCATAGAAAACATTAAATTTCCTATAAAATGATATTTTTGCACGAAAAAAAGTGATTGGGAATTGAATGAAAATAAAATAAAATAAGAATCATGGTATAGTAAGAAAAATGAAAAAAAAAAATATAAGAAACAGAGAAAAGTGAAAATCAAAATTCATTTTCTTTTATTTAAAATTCATTTTTTTATATTTTTTGATTTTTTGATGTGCTAGTATTTAAAATAAATTTTAAAAAATAAAAAATATATTATATCAATATATTTATATGTAAAAAAATTTAAAAAAATAACAGTCATCACATCTCAAAACATCTCCTCAGTTACAAACTTAATCAAACAAGTTGCCAGCTGACAGCTCTCTTAATCTTTCAATGCACATCAATTAGGACAATATTTTAACTAAAAAGAATTTACTACATTATTTTTAATGAATCCATAAAAAAACTACATTGACAGCTGCCAATACCATTCTTTCGCTTTCCAGGATATTGACTTGCCTTATTACAGATTGAATAAACAGTTGCGGGAAAAAAAATAATGAAAGAACAAGCACCAATTTATATAGAAGTTGCTCATATCAGGCCACTAGAGAAGGGAACGGCTGTTTGAGGTAGCCAATCATTCCCCAGCAAGAAGCTAGACACGGTGAAATTAACAGCATCAGTAGCGTTAATAACGTGGAAACCAGGCCATGTTACCCTGTTTGTAGTGTCAGAACCCGGTCCGGTGTTGTTGTATTCTGCATAATATGATGTATTTAGTGCGAAATCTCCACTCCATATTTGCCAACCAGCAGGATTTATCAGTCCATCCATGAAACTTTGCATATAAACAGTTCTTGAATACTGCTTCCATGGCCTCCCAAGATATGTTTTCACCGTCGCATTGCTTGAAGCCAAATCGTCAGCAGCTTTAATATTACAATTATGTATAGATGTGCCAGTGTTTTGGTTCGGATCTGTTCTACCTTGGGCGGTGATGGCATTGAATTGACCACTCATAGGCAGCCGTGGATACAAGTTACAGTTTTGTAAAACAACAGCAGCATTGCCAAAAATAAAATCAACAGTACCATAGATATCACACTCCCTGTAGAATTGTCTCATAGAATGGGTGTATAAGGGATCCTGGTACCCTTCAAAACTGCAACCATAAAATGCAGACAAATCAGCTCCACTTCGTAAAGCTACAGCCTGATGCTTGACTGCCCCAGCTGTGTTACGGAATGTGATGTTCACTGCAACAAAGTTGGGTGCCACCACAACTGCAACAAGGATCACGAATTTGATTAATTAGCTAGATTAAGCCCATATAATTATTTGGTCATGAGATATTATAAAATTAGCTAGGATGTAATCTAATACCACGTTGAAGGTTCAAGTTCTTACCAAATGTAGCAGAATTGAAAGTAGTCCACCCATCAACAACACTACGATTCCCAGTAATCACCGTTTGATTTATACCATCTCCAACCATCATCAAATATTTCTTGTTCTTTGCAATAGACACATACTCTTCATAAATGCCTGCAGTGACATAAATCATGAAGTAGCCATTACTGCCGTCGGTATTATTTGGAGCTGCAGCGACAGCATCTTTGATGGTTGTGAAATTTCCTTGTCCGTCCTGACTCACCGTCACTATATCACTGACCTCTATATCGTTATTCTCTGTCTGGAGAAGTTTTCTTGTCCTCACTGACTCGTAAATTGCACGGGTCCTGGCAGACATTTTCATTGGCAATCGTCCATGACTGAATGCAAACTGCTTGCCTTTAGGCTGCCATGTGCTCCCTCTCTTCTTTTTAGGAACCCAACCTTTGGTGAAAAAAGCTAGAGAAACACTATAAAGTTTTGTGTCATTAGACAGAGGGACTGAGAGACCGTTACTTACACTCGAAGCAGAAGATGTGGCCTGTAGGCCATCTAAACAGGTTTGCTGGTTCGTTAAAATGGCACTTAGCAAAGTTTGCACATTATCAGCTTGCAAAGAAGGCAAGGTTTTACTAGTAGCATTGACAGTTTGAAAGGAGCTCAACAAAAACTCTATGTTTAGATTAGCTAGAAACTGACAATCCTCAAGAGCCCGAATGGCAGCGACAGACAAAGTGGAGCGGCGTGAGAGATATTCATTAACTAGGTTCAAAAATTTACGGGATTGTGATAGGGACTTTCGGACGCAAAGTCGGGCAGAGTCATAGACATTGGTAGATTGGACAGGGAGAACAGATTTGCAAAAGGAAGGGTCTGGGGTGTCCTTGCAAAGGGTTCCAGGGCTGACAGGACTGCTTGATACATCTGCTAAAGATGGAGAGGCAAGGAAGGGAAGGAAAACAACAGCCATCGCTACCAGAGAGATGAGCTTAGAAGGCTTCATTTTTTGGACAAAGGAGAGTTACAAGTAGCTAGCTAAGTTTGAGGAATTTGTGTAGAGGGGAAAGCTCTATTTATAGAGGATTGCAAATTAAGTGGCTTATGATTCAAATATTATAACATGATGATTGTTAGCAGTAATATTTATGAAATCAACTTGCACGACTTTCTGAAAAACGCGTTGGTCTCCTGTCACGTTTCAGGCATGTAAACATAAAATCCGAGTTGTTATCTATGCAGGTTAGTATACGAATATTTATATATTCTGATTGAACGTAGTCTATTCATAATTCTCCTTGCAATTCGGTGCTTGTCATTCTTCAACGGTTATCAACTAGTCGGCTACCTGCCGCTGGCAAGTCTATCTGATCACTTTCTTCGTTTAATCGATTGGATATAATTTTTCTTAGTTGGTGGGAGACATTAAACTCTAATTATAATCTTGTTTAAAGTAAGTAGCAAGTTACCAGTAGAATGGGCGCCCAAGATATACTGGCAAGAATTCAAAAGTCTAAGTAATACTCATTCTATGGAGGGTAGCAACTACAAAAGAAAAAAAAAAGAGGAGGTAAAATGTCAAAGAATGGATCTGTCATTAAGTCAAAATCATTGGTTTGCTTCGTTTCATGGTTGTGATAATGACGCCGTCTGCCTTGCATATGGCAAGCGACTAGATGCAGCGGCCATTTGGTTTGAGAAAAAATGAAGTCCCATAAAGTCTATAATAATCTCGAAAAATAAAAGTGAGATAGAAGCCTGCACGAAACAGATGTGGGCATGAGCCAAATATGAGACTAGCCGGTAAGGAGCTGTTGGTTTTTCGGGTAGAGATCGATTTTTATAAAAAAATATATTTTTTAAAATTATTTTAATATACTTAAAAAATTATATATTTTTATTTTTAAATAAAAATATTGTAAAATACAACCATTATTAGAGCTCCGAATACAACCTTAATAGAAGTTAAAAATAAAATAAAAGGTGACCGATGACTCTCAAGTTAAATAGAAACAACTTTAAATATGGAAAAAATAAAATAAAAGATGACCATGACTTTCAAGTTAAATAGAAACAATTTTAAATATGAGAAAATAAAATAAAAGGTGACCGATGACTTTCATGACTTTCAAGTTAAATAGAAACAACTTTAAATATGAGAAAATAAAATAAAAGGTGGCCGATAACTTTCAAGCTAAATAGAAACAACTTTAAATATGAGAAAACATAGCGTTTCTCTTCGTCAAAATTCACGCAAACCTAATACAAATATCCAATTTATTCTAACTTGTCCAGTCAACGGTGGAGCCAGACAAGGTCGGTTAAAAGCATAGATTTAAGACTAGATTTGCCATATCCATCACGGCCTTTGGACGTGACCAATATGACCAAACCTGACAATTCCTTCGAACCCCACATCCGTAGGTAAAACATTCGAGGATGATGAGGTTTAGTTAGATGTTTGACGAAGGGAGAGGATAGAGATGATCATCTATTTATATGTTTTAAAAATATATTTAAATAAATTAACATATTTTAAATTTAAATTTTTAAAAATATATTTAAATAAATTAACATTTTTTAAATTTAAATTTAAATTTATCATTATTTTTATTTTTATAATATATTGATACTAAAAATAATTTTTAAAAAATCAAAAATATTATTTTAATATACTTTAAATAAAAATATTTTAAAAAGCGATAATCATCACACTATTAAACAAATAAAAATAAAAATTCTCGCCGTCCGAAAAATTAAGAACTTCTGAAGGAATCAGAAAACATCTTTTTTTAGCTTAAATTAGTAGGTGTCTTGGAAAAAAACCTCAAATAATCTTTTTTAATGGAAGATGACTACCCTTGCTTTGATTAGTAGGTGACTTAAATTGATAATCACTTTAAAATTGGCATGTTTCATGTGATTTAGAAAAATAAAAACAATATATAAAAATAAAAATTGGAGTCATAGCCATTTTAATATGCGATTTGTACGATAATAAGCATGAAAAAAAATCCACATCAAATAGCTATTTCTTAAAGGCTGGCAACTCTTCATGGTTTAAGTCATTGTTTTATAATTGAGCCGTGTGATAGAGGTTGATGAGCCTGAATTCAAGCTCTTATACTAATATTATTATTAAAGACATATGACTTCCCTAATATTATTAATTTTGATAATTAAACTATTTATTATATTGGATGCATGTATAATTGGTAACTATTATACGTATAAACATGAATAGAAAATTATATATGTTTATGTATGAGATAGATCCATGATCCAATAGTCTAGGCTTTCGGACTGGAAACAATGTTCATCCTTGTGCATAAAGCTCTCGTGCGCGCAGACTCAAAGTAAACGCAAAGACTCATGCGCATCTAGCTCCTCAAACACAAACAATCCTCTCACAAATTGATATCAGAGCTGAATATTATGGTTAGGCTCCTGTTACTTTGTTTTCTTCCCATGAATGAGCAAATAAGCTAAGCTCTAAAGCTTGGATGAATACGATAATAAGCATGAAAAAAAATCCACATCAAAATAGCTATCTATTTCTGAACAACTTGCTGTTTATAAGATAAACTCATGATCACTTCATAAACAAGTTTTTTTAAATTAGAGGAAGTGCTCATAAATATATATAAAATTCTGTACACAAACATGGATTAGATCCATGCAATCTCATTTAATGCAGCTACACAAATTGGGTATATCCTAATGCTAATATAGATTATTTTTCTTAGAAGAAAAGTATTTGACTGACGGGAAAACCGTGCAAACGCACGAAGGTTTCTTCATTTAAGTACTCTTGTGCGCGCAAGTGTGTGTGTGTGTGTATCTCGGCGATGACTAAACCTTACTCGACAAATTCCCGCAGAAATCTAGAGTTGTTATAAATAACAAGGTGGTTTGATGTAAAACCTTGGGAATTGAATCACCAACATGTGCTCCAACAGAAATGAAGCTTCGCTAAACAATTTGTCAACTCTCAAACATCTCTCAAACGTCTCAACTTGTCGTTAAACTACATGGCTGGTGGGGAACATTTATCCATAATAATACTCCCAGCGATCGAGCAAGAACAATGGCTGGTGGGGAACATTTATCCATAATATTTCTAGTTTCCATATCAGGATCGATGATCAAAGAAGAGAAAGATCTTATGATAATGGCATTTTTATTAAATGAATTAATTTCAAGAATGGCTAGGAATATATACCATCGTTATTCTATATTGAAACTAGAAATACAATAATAGGGCTTCACAGTTACTTGGATCCATCATGCTCTGACATACGTTTATAAAAAAAACAGTTAAAATCCAAACACTTGAATGATTGGTTGAGAACACGATAATATGGCGTGATATTATTGACTTAGAAAAATAGCTGTTGAAATGTAATGGAGATATGCTGCCTAATCAAAGTAGGAATGTCAAAGATCGCGTTGTAGGTGACTCTTCGGCGTTTGAATTCAAATATAATGCTTGGCAATTACATTTACTTAGTTGATATGGATGCATGGAGTTTTGAAATAGAGCCCAACAGGCTGGCGCCGATGTTCCACTACATGGTTCCAAGTCATTTCCCCGTTAGTTTAAGGTTATAAAACCACCGACTTCGATGACTTGTGGAAAACATAATTTTCTTTTTCCAGATACAAAAGTTGTAAAGATGAAACAAAGCACAAGAGCCCATAGCCGCCAGATGCTGGAGTGAGTATGGAAAATACGACTATATGTAGCAGTTAGGTCCTTTCCATGCATGATTCTAATACCTGTGGCCAAAAATCCGCAAGAATTATCTTGAGGTTGAGCAGAATCAAAACAGTAATTCAGCAATTTGAGATTATTTCCATGGAGATTACGTATATCCGATGCCATCCTTTCTGGAAAAAAAATGAATAAAAAGAAAACCAGAAAGCGATCTAATTGCTTCATCAGGGTACCTGTTTAAACGATTAAACCATATTGTAATTACATTAAACGCTTAAAGATTCAATTAAAACTTATCTAATAATTATAGCACGTACAATGCTTATTTACTAGCATGTGCTAGCTACTTGTAACTTTCAGTCTCTTAATGCATCTAAGGGTATGTGATAGCCAGGCCCAAAAAACAAAACAAAAATTGTCGCATGCAGTCTGTTAACATAATGGATTGTGATGGATTAGCATTGGGGGGTTGAATAAGAAAATAATTGATTTTTGATGGAGCACAAACATGTAAAATTGAAAGTTATCATTAACAAACACTCAAATCTTGGATATGTATTCGAACAATTGATTTAAAACATGTAAAATAATTGATTTCGCCATGCTCCCAAAGTTTGTTCCGATCCCTATAGTTTTAGTAATGTTTTGAGTATGTCCTTAAAATTTTAAAATTATGAAATTGGTCTCTCAAAAATATTTAATAAAATATAAGTGGAAGTTGAGATTTTCTGCTCCTAGTAAACCGTTCATCAGGCGATCTAGCATATAAATCTACCTAATTTTATCATAAAAACTCTATTTTGCATATAAATTATAATTTGTATTAAATTATGAAATATTAGAGTTTAATAAAAGTAGGGAAGGAGATAAAAATTTAATAATAATATCCTAAAAAATTAAAATAATTTAAGAATAAAATTTATATAATTCAATTCATTTTCTCTAGTCAAGGCGGCTGATACTTAATAAGTTAAGATAGTTAGTGCCTGCAGAATATTTTTTTTTATGGATTTAGAACTCTCTAATTCTTAAATAAATATTTTTATATATAAAAAAAAACAATATTTTAGAAATAGACTCTGAAAATAAATATACAATAAAAATAAAAATTGTAAACAAGAAATTTAAAGGATTTATAGTATGTCTATAACTTATGAATCCTTTTTTATGAAGATGAGAAATTAAAGTGTAATTTTTTTTAATAATTTTTTTAAAGAAAAATATCCTTAACATATATATTAATGAGATATAAACATGGTAGGTTAATAAAAAAAATTTATATATTATCTCTTACACAATATTAATATTAATAAAAATATGATGGGTTCTTAGAGAATTTTTATATATTATTCTTTACACAATA